ACCGCGAGTGTTCACTCGGCGTCGTGCTGTCCGCAACCCACTTGAGGTAATCCTCGCTGCCGGGCCCCATTGGCACGCTGATGATCTCCGGGACGTCGTACGGGTGATGTCGCTTCACGTCCGCAACCACCTCCTCGATAAGTGAAGCCCGTGTTTTTATCATCATGAGGCACTCGCTCTCCTCCTGCAGGCGGCCCTCCCACTGATAGACGGATTGAATGACGGGGATGATGTTCACGCATGCCGCCTTCTTGCCCATGACCAGCTGCTTCGACAGCTCGCGTGCCACCTCCATCGAAGGCGTCGTCACGTAACACACAGAGAACATAAAAGAGAGTATTTGACACAACACAACTCCGTGGAAAAAAAAAAAAAAGTAAAAAACAAGTACTCAAAGAAAAACCTAAAAAATGAAAAATAAAAACAACAGCAAACCCCAATAATAATAAAAATTAAAGAAACCGCAAAAGAAAATAATAATAAGAATAATAATAGTAATTTGCTCTCCGGACGGAGAACACCCCGCCCCCCCCCCCCAAAAAAAAAAAAAAAAAAACCGGCATGCACACGCAGGACGGCCACCAGCATGTGGAGGGCAACAGAAAAGGAGGGAAGGAATTTCGTATGCAGGTGGTTGTATATATATATTAGCAGCTGTAGTGTCTCCTTTCTTCACGGGAAAAGAAAGTGAAAGAAGAAAAAATAATAATCCTCTTCCATGTGGTGGATAATCGCCACACACAGACACGATTTCAATGCACCTCCTCCCCCTCAGTGGAGCACCATCAGTGGCAAAAGCAAGCACAGACACACACACACACACGTAGGCACATAAACCCACTAAAGTTTAGGTGTAACTGGGGTGGCCAAAGACAAAACACTGCCATCCACTTCCCTCACACCTTCGATCTATTGGAAGTCCATCCAGGCACGGAAACGAGGTGTTCACCGGGACACACAAGAGCAGTGAGCTCCCCTCCATACACACACCGAGTGTCCAATCCGATCGCATGAGGGTAGCGTTGGAGGCCTCGTCTGGCATCGTGGCCAAAGACAACAGTCTCCGGACCCTGCCACAGCGATGCCCACGGCACACCGTCCGTTGTATCCTCAGATGCCCTGTACAGCCCGTCATCCTGCAAAATGAGGTTGCGCATCGTAGTGACCTCCTTAACCAATTGCCGCTCGAGCGGGTGTTGAACGTGAAGGCCCGCATGTACCACCAGAATGTTGTGTGCGGGAATGTGGAGAATATGCGGCAGTTGTAATAAATACTCTTCAACATCCTGCGGTAGCGACATGGCAAGCGGGGCCAAACTCGATTGGCTATTCTTCCCGTGCAGCGTCCCATGTTTTCGTATCTTTTTCCGAAGTTTGAGAAGCTTGGCGTCATGATTGCCAATCACACCGCGTGCTCCAAGGCTCTTCAGCAGACGCACAACGCCAAACGAGTCTGGCCCTTTGTTCACCATGTCCCCAGCGGTGATTAACTGATCCCTTCCCCTCACAAAGTCTGTGACTGATAAAATGTCCTCCAGTTGGGCAAGGCAGCCATGAATGTCGCCCACAATGACAACCCGCCCATTCACGTTGTGGAAAGTCTCTAACTGTGCGTATTTTCTTCCCATCGTGATGCTAACAGCACACACATACACACACAAACGCCCTAGTGCAATAAAAAAAGGCACCAGACTATTGAGCGTCACAAAGAGAAAAATCACAGAGAAATAGTAACATTGCAAATCCATTACAACCGCAACTGCCAAAACCACCACTACCATCAGCAGCGGCGGCAAAAATGCCCCGACTAAAATTCAGGAAAAAGAGAAATAAAAGAAAAAAATATCTGAGATGGCAGTAATGTCCATAATATATATACAACCCCTCCAAGCGTCTTTTGTTCTACCGAGTTTCCTTCAGTCTATGACTCTGCAAAACAGGCATGACAATCTCACTGAACCTCCTTCATATGTGCACACATGCACCAAAATAATAATAATAATAATAATAATAATAATATTACGTGGATAAGTAAAAACAGACAAACGGTATAATTGCGTGTGTGTATGTGTGCTCCTAGAGACAGTGATACCATACCACCACCTCCGCCTCTACCGGGTCAATGCAGACATAGCAGTAGTTCAGGTTACTGGGCTCCGCGTCATCGGTTCGAGTAAAGAGTGAAAAACCGCTCACTGCCTGCACAGAAACAACAGTTGAAACCACTTCCGGTGTCAATACGGTACCGTCCACATATGCGGTATGATCGGGCTCGTCCATGCCACCCCCAGCAGATGGTGCCTCATTCTTCTGCACCGCACGAATGGCGACAAGGCCCTTATACCACGCCCGCGCCACATCAAGGTAAACTCCCAAGTCGTCATCCCACTGGTTGTTGCTGCCGCCACCCGCCACAAGGCGCCATAAAATGTGATACAAAAATTCGGAACGCTCCGCCTCCGTAAAAACACGACGAAGTGCGGCAAGTGAAAGTCCTGCACCAGAGCCATAATTAATCGCGTCCCAAGCCTCCTCCTCGGCATACTCATCTCCCTCATGGCATATGGCGCGATTGTGTGCAAGCAAGAAGAGTGCCCGCAACTCATCCGTCACGGCAATGTCATGTGGAAGGTAAAAATCCGGGCGTCGGACGACGGGCAAACGTACGCAGCCGTCAAATATGGCCGCTTCTGCCTCATCATGACATACATCTCCCTGCACCTCCACATGCCGCACAACTCCTGCCTTGACGAGACGAGTGAATGGCTCAAGTGTCGTCCAACTACAGTGCAGCTCGGTGTATTCCACCGCGTCACGTGCCAGTCTCAGTGCAGGAGAAAGCGCAAGGGCATCACGCACGGCGGTGGAGTCAAAGAGAGACACAAGAAACTCCTGAAGCACCCCTTTGTGAAATCCAGAAAACCGCATCGCACCAGCCACAACGGCACCGTTGCCAACACCACCGCCATGAGACGCACCCTCCTGCGCGATTCGGCTGTTATTCTCCTGCTCAAACCGGAGGGCACACACACGAGTCTGACTGTGCAGCCCCCACCTTCGCTGTGCCTCCTTATAGGCGGGGTCCGTCAAAACAATTTCCAAACGCCGATGAGTTAACGGCTCAAAAGAGAAGCGAGTTTGCGGCCCCATTCTTCCCCCCGTTTCTTTCTTCCCCTTCGACTGCCCCGCACGCTACAGCGACACAAAGAACAAACAAAAAAAAAAAAAAGGGTGCGAAAAAAAAAAAACATAAAGCAAAAAAGCATAAGAACATGCGCAGCTAACAAAGCAAAAAAAAAAAAAAACATCGCAGCGCTACCACACACCGGCACATGACCCATTGTTTAATTACATAAGAGATCAATTGAGCGACAGAAACACAACTCACACAAACACACAAATATACGCAGTAACGTGGGCAAAGATTTATTTTTTTTTTTTAAGGGTTAAAAAGCACAACAACAAAGAACAAAGCCCATAAAAACACCCAACTATTATTTATTTTTTTTTTTTTTTTAGGTGGAGCCTGTTTTGGCGTATCTCGCTTCCTCCCACAAAACGAGTCTTGGCCGCATCACCAACAAAATTCATACATCCCTATTCAATCCACGTAAAAAAAAAAAAAGGCCTTCGCTCCCAAAAACTGCAATATATATATATATATATATTTCATTCTCTCTAGTTTCCGCCGTCTGTTTTTTATTCCGTCCATTTTATTCACTTCTCTCTTATTGGGTGTTTACCCTTTTTCTTTTCTTTCCTGAAGCTTTCATATCGACCCGAAACTCCGGTCCCCACACTAATGGATACCCCGCACTGCAGCGGAGTGACGCACATTGACCGAGCCCCAGCAGAGAGGTGGTGGCGGTGTATGTTGCCTTCCATGACATCTCTCTCCCCTCCTCACATCAAATCACACAAACGACTTACGCTCTAAGAATCGCTTCAAGAAGTACAGCTGGAAGCAACTCATGATAACAAGTGTAAGAACCTGAAACACACTCCATATGAGCAGGCGCTCGCTCGACTCCTCCACCGTCGCCCGATGCTCCTTCTGCTGTGTACGCAGGAGCATCTGAAGCGACTCCACCTGACGCATCAAGGAAGAAATATGCTCCACTTTTCGCTCCACCGGGTCCAGCTCCGACTGCTTTGCCACAGATGTGTAGTCTACATGGTAACGGAAGTGAAAAACAATGAGTTTCGGGGTGTAATGTGCGTAGGTGTTGTCAAGACAAGCAACGATGGCCTTTGTGCCGCTCTGGGCAAGAACTTCATACAACCCGTCTGACGTCTCCCCCCACTCTTTAAGAATATGCCCCTCCTGATCAGCAACCGAGGCGCGTATGTCGTGGTTTCCGCCACCAACAACCTGAAACTGGAACGTCACCCTGCTCTGCGGCGGCACCACCTCCCGCAGACATAACTTCTCGCCACTGCCGACAGTAGTCGTGGCGGCCTCGACGCCAATTAAACACACAGTCAGTGACAACAACGCTGTGGACAAAAGAAACAACAGAAAAGAGAGCTGTGGTGGTGATGACTGCTGACCACGCAAACGCTCCCTCAAGTTGGGCATTTCCCTTCCGTCTTTCTTCTCTATCCTTTTCAATGTTCCCCGTTTTGATTGCAAACACGCACAATCGCACCGCCGCCTCCTCTGTCCCGGCTCCTTTTTCCCTGTTTTTGTTATTTCTTATTCTCCAGTTTCCACCAACAAAGTTTAAAAGTTGTGCAAAACACCAGAGAAAAACGTAATTCTGTGGAAGCCCATCCACAGGAAAAAAAAGAAAAATACATGCGTGCGGGCAGGGACAATGTGAAGGTGGAAAACAATGCCATCCGCCGAAGAGCGGCGCAAAAGAAAAACAAGGAAAGTGGCGGTGACTGCACCCAAACACACACGCAGAAAAGAAGAAATCATAAACGCGCACCTCTCTTTCTTACCTTCACTTGTTATTTCCCTCCCCTCCTCCCGCCGTTGTGGCACACAACACACACACGATTCCTCGCCACCCGCCGCAGCCGCAATGCCCCATGTCCGCAGCCAAAAGGGCGTGCACGCATATGACGCCGCGCCGGCATAAAAGGAGAGGCTGCAAGAAACAAAAATAATGCCTGGTCGAACAACAAAGCATAGCGCATGCAAATAAACACGTATTATCCATACAAGTGCTGTCAACAAGAAGGAAAAACCATCCCGCATTCTATCTGGAAAGACAGTGGCCGTCCAAAAAGCCCTGAATGTCGCTCAAGACCCTCCTCCAGGTTACTTCCGTGAGAACCTCGTGCATCAGCCCCTCGTATTCAATAAGTCTCTTGTCCGTCGAGACTGCCAACTCCATAAACCGACGTGAGCCGCCCACGGCACACAAAAGGTCCTTTGAGCCGTGTACAATAAGAAGCGGGAAGGTGCTTCTCTCCATATTTTTCCACACGTCGTCAATCGCACGCATCATCTCCGCCCCATAACGTGCCGTGAGAGGGACAGAAACCCTAAATGGGTCCTGCTTCGCAAGTTCCACAACCGGGCGGTTCCCACTGATGAGGTCAATATCAAGTGACCTCACAGCAAGCTTCGGGAAGTGCCTTGAAACCATGGGCGCAATCCGGCGCAACAGGGGCGTCGTCAATTTGGGATCCAATTCGAGTGCTGGCCCGCTGAGAACAACGGCGGCCCACGCGCCTGGGTCACGGAACGCCACGTGCGCTGCTATGAGGCCGCCCATAGAGTGTCCCAAGAGAAAGTGTGGCAGGACTGCATAGCCCGGGTAACGGGAAAGTATGATTTTATTAAACAGCAAGAAGTCATCCACGAAATCGTAGAAGTGTTCCACATGGAGGCGTTTTCCCTCGCTTCCGCCGGCCCCCTGATTATCCATGCAGAACACATGATAGCCCTCGCGCGCAAACGTCAACGCCACCGGATCGTACCGTGCCGTGTGTTCGGCAACACCGCTGACAAGAAACAGCACCGCACGCACGGCGGGCACCTCGCGTGGCGGCTCCCACTCCGCAAAGCGCAGCCACAGGCCCTGCTTGTTCTGAAAATACCGCGGGAAAAGTTCCGGGTCGGGCGGAACACGCGACGGCTTGGAAAACTTCAGTGCGTGTGACGCATCGCAGCAAGAGCAGCACGAGCCCATAGCCCGGTGCCCCCACAATTGAGCTGCGGAAACGGAGGAAGGAGAAAAAGAAAGTGTGGGAGAACTAATGTCGCTTCCCAGCCAACGCACGTCCTTCGCCCTACAAGGTACACGTGCAGTGGGGTTGTTTGCAGCATCGGAGGAACAACAACAAAGGAAACAGAAGAAAAGAAACAACACAGGAATAAGATGAGACACGTCGGAGCGGAGAAAGAAAGGAGCCAACAGAAATGAGGCCTAAAACACACAGGGGACTTTATTCGCAGCCACGCAGAGAAAATTGATGCGTAGAAACAAATGTTTAAAACAGAGAGAAACAACAAGAGCAGAAGTGGTGGCAATAACGCACACACGCACATGCACATACTATATATGTGTATAAGGACAGGGATTCCATGCCTGTGTACGTAAGATACAAAAAAGAGGTGCAGAGAATAAGAGGGGCAAGTGGTCGCTGATAGGCTCGCTCTCACACACAGAGAGAGAGACGCTCTCTCCTCCTCTATCTTTCTCCTTCCATCAGAGGCCCCGTAAAGCGGTCGGAGGGCCGCAGTATCACCTCCAGCTGCTTTGCCATCCGCACCACCTGCGCCCGCAGGGCTTGACGATCCAAATCAAGTTGTTGAAGCACAAGAAGACGCTGCCGTAGCTGCGCCTCTGCCTGCGCAATTCGTGTCTCCACTCCCACGCAGTTTCGCCCCTGGGTAGAATACAGCCGAAGCTTCTCACGAAGCATACGAGCCTCATCACGCTCCGCCGAGGCAGCAGCCAACATTGCACGGTACGCCAACAGGAGTCTCTTGCCTTCCGCAACGGTAATGGAGGGGTCACTACAGACAGTTGCCATCGATGCGTTCAATGAGACGGCGGGAGTGGGAGCTGCGAGATGAAGTGGCGGGGAAACATCTCCACCGAGGGCGCATGAATGCGTAGAAGAGGATATCCCCGCTGCGTCCACACGCGAGGCTGTGTCAATTCTACCAGCAGCACGCCTCGGCGCTGCAGCAGTGCCCATGCGCACATGACGCACTGCAGGAGGAATGGCGGCGCAACGGGCAACAAGACGCCGACGAAAGACCTCCACAGAGCCATCGTTGACGGCTCGTTCGCAAACTGTTCCCTTGTGAGGCTCAACACAAACAACAGCAAAAGGGGAAGCAAAGGATGTCTCGGCGTCTGCGGCCGTGCTCGCCATCATAACCGCACCCGCT